AGCACTATTTATCAATCTGTAATAGAAGACGTGAGGAAATTCTGCCTTTTTTAAAGACAAAAATTTTTGAGGCGAAATACCCAACAAGAAGTTTGTAAAAAAATAACCACACATCAACACAAATGAGACCAGTAGAAATAAAACCATTTAGAAGTATAGGTACTAAGTAAAACTTTACCTCTCAGAAGACGGAACGGAGATATCAGGAAACTGGAAGAGTGGTAAGACAGAGTCGAACTAATCGAAGTCTAATTAACCACCCAATAAGAAAAAGGTCGCAAAGAAGGCATGCACAACGTTGGCGAGAATACTGGAATTGCTCTTCCAGGGAAGACGTGCTAGCAATGAACAAACAGTTGCCACTAATATGGTTTTGCAAGTTAGAAAAGAGAAGAAAAGAAGTAAAACTTTTCGAGGAAACATTGCCTACTATCGATACATTGAAATGAACTGAAAACTTTCAGAGCAAAGTACAAACGCTCTATTTTAGTAGGTACAATTCGTTACGAAGCTCAACAATGTACTTGTTGTTCAAAAAAGTATCCACTGTGTAGAAATCGTTGGTAAAAATTTACTTATTGGTTCGTCAAGTTAAATGTGTACGAAATAGTAAGAATTTTGCGGTAATTGCGTGACTCTGGTCAGTTTTTGAGGCTATTAGATGGTGTTGGCCTTTAAGAAGAATAAGTGGCTTGCATCCTCAGAAGTGGATTGCTTCAAAGCTCACTTTGAACTGAGATAAATGAATAACAGGAAAAAATTATATTCCCCTACGGCCTCAATTCCGAAAAACTTATGAGTTTCGAAATACATCATTATAACAAACGTTACATTCAAAACAGTATTTTTAAATTAAAAATTTATAGAACTAGTGACATGTAAACCCCAGCAAAGTTAAACCGAATATCCGTCCACCCTGTATATTATTTCTACCGATAAATCGAAAGTAAAATACGAAACCATTTTCGTAAGAAAAGGGGTTGGACGCCAGTCCTAAATTCTAAACGCTTTACTGGTTCTAAGAAGAAATGAAACAGTAAAGGATTAGTATTAAGATCCGACAACGTGGCAATCAAACGCCCTGCATATTAATTAAACATAGCATAATTAGAGTTTTTAAGGCGCACAGTTCTGTTTAATTTATGCCAGGTTGGTTTTTCTTTTGTCGCCGGGCCGATGAAAATATTGTAATTTGGTGTTTTACTTAATCTCCCTCTTTCTTTTACATATTAATCACCTCATAAAATGCTAAATATAAACCAAAATTAATGTTGACTTTGAGGCCCAAGAAATCTCCCCTTTGGTTATTGTGCCATCAAAATTAAAATGGCGACAGTTCCTTTAATTGTACTGGTAATCTTTTCGAATCTGTCTCTAGGGGGCAACAAGCCGATGATGAAACACGTTTTATATTCAAAGTTTGCCATTCAAGACCATAGAAGATGGTTTCAACTAAAGGAAGCGAATTTTAAGAATGCTCGATAAATAATCAGAAAAATTTATCCTGGAATTGTTGAACCATCCCGTGTCAATTCCGATCTAATTTATGTGCTTATTTAACTATACAGGGTGTCCTGGAAGTGATTGTCAAAAAATTAATGGTGGTTCCTGTTGTATAATACTAGATGTTTTATACAACAGACTGAACAGAGTAATGTAGATTTAAGACGACTGACCTTAGAAGAAAAGTTAACGGACACCGAAAAACAGAATGCCAACGTATTTTTTTGAATGGATTTTTTCAAATAGCTTTCGAACAACTTGAAGGTTTTACCAACTTTGGGCATTCAGGGGTTTTAGGGATCAATAATCAAGAAAAATGTATTGAAAAGTATTCAAGGATTCAAGGCGTTAAATGCTTTGGTGGACACAGTTTCATTTTTATTAAGTACCTACAATGGACCAGTTATACGCAGGCTCTTTGTTTCGCAGATTATTAGCACTAACTGGCCATTCAGAAGATCAAGAAATGTCAAAGTTGAGTTGTTTGAAGCTGAATCGGGCGGAGATAAAATACATTTCTCGGTTTTCTGCATCGTAATCAACCAGATAGCAATTTTCTACCAGATGATAGCTCATTTTAATCCTTTCATTAGCGGAGCTCAAATATTCTATTTTTGAAACAGTGAGTTTTTTTCGTTTCAATGGTATTTTCAACTGAAGTTTCAAATACCAGCGCCATACCATAAATATATACCAGCGCACAAAGGATGCGTGCTTCTGTTGTAGTTCCATTAATGTGGGAACAATGAAGAAGAAACCGGTAAGAGTCTAACTAGCCCAGCAACAATAATTTAATAATTATGAATTTAATTTCAAATTGTTATTAAATCTACATAGAGTTTCGACACACCGAACGCCGTCATCGTTTAAAAAACGTTAATCTGCGCCTTATGAACACATAGCAGATGCAGGCGAAACATCAGGTATGAATACATTAGATATTCACCTATAAGCGTCGAAACCAATATGTGCCACTCCACTGCGAAAAGGGTCAGAAATCAGTTACGGGTCTCAAGTATTTTCATCACCTAACGAAAAATTGCCCAGAAATGACCCTTTTTAATGTTGTGGAAAAATTGATATTTACTTAATTGAAACAAAATATATAATAATTAGCACGTACTTGATAAATGCATGAATGTCGTCACATATAGTCTCACAGCCCGGCCATTTACAAACTCCATGGCCATACAGGTGATGGTGTACTCTATCTGGAGTCGTTGTCCTCACGTATTTTTCTTCCGATATGGAATCTTCTCGGCTTATTCTACTTTGTATATTCAATAATCCCGTAGTGTTATCTGAAAAAATTAAAATTGCCTACTTAAAAGCAGTTTCTATCATCGATATCATAATGACAATTAAAAGTATGTTTTCTTTCGTTTGCACATAAAGCGCAACTAACCACATTGCATTCGAAACCGCGTGCAATAAACGGTTCAATATGGAAAACAAACTTTTATGTTACGATAGAATGTATTAATTTATGTAGGTAAATTGGACGATCAAAATTTCATTCTAATGAGTAAAAATAGCAACGTTTACTCACAGATGTTAATAAACTTTTTGACGCATTCGCTTACATCAGCAGCTTTCATTTATTTGTAAAATAAATTTATCGAGAGGAACTCGAATCTTTCGTATTGATTTGTTAATAAATTATGTTTTAATAAAATTTCATTGGTATGATTCACTTAAATTGATGTGAGTTCCTAATATTTTTCTAGGGGTAATATTTGTTTATTTAAAACCAGCGTAAAATAAACAAATTCATACATAATGACACATTTTTCGTTGCCATCTTCGGAGGCCTTGTATAAATGTGCTTTACTAACAATAAACTAGAAATTTAATTATAAACTTTTACCTAAACATGTACTATAAACCACATTTCTGACGGAGTAGAATTTCAAAAATGCTTGTTGGCAAGGATTGATAAATAAATAATTCCTGTTAACTGATAATTATTTTATTATTTACCGATCAGATCGTTTATTTCTGGAAAAATTCAAAACAACGTATACGATATTTTTTAAACACATGACGTCCGTTCTAACACAAATAAGCATTCCCGGGGATCGGAATGATTAAATATAATGATACTCACCATTTATTTCAGATGGAGGTTTACTATTCACTACATGATGCTGTTCGCTCATATCTTTCCAAGGACTCATTACATCTCTTGAGTTCATTCCTGTAAAAGAGTTTTAGTGAAACACATTTTTTTATAAAGTACAAAATTATTGCTCATGCTAATTCTCTTAAAAGTGTCAACTGAATATAATAATACAAAATAAATAGTGATGTAAGGTTTGAACGGCCAGGAAGTCACGTGCGCTTAAAACAAGTAGGTCGACAATATTTCCAGCTTTTGGAACCCAAATGGAACCAGGTACATCGGAAGTCAGTGCCAAGCCAGTGCCCGACACATGCAAAATGTTTTTCGTGAAAAGATATCGACGAGTCGTCACTAGCTAAGAGTTTTAACCGCACGTGACTAGCCATCGTCTTAGACAATATCGCGTTTGGCCCCACAGCGGCTCCATCATCAATGCTACTAAACTGGCTTTGCCCTGACCCATCCATTTAAATCCGAATGACGATCTAGGTTCTATACGTACCTAAAAGCTGGAAATATGTCAATCCTGCCTTCTCTTCACTTATTTTCGCTCTTCCTTTATTATAATTATTAGCATTACTATTACTATTATTGATATTTCTACAACTCGTGATAATTCACTGATTTGCAATAACTCGAAACTTAAAAGGCAAGCAGCATTCTTTACTTGCCTTCTATTAACAAAAACTTTTTAGTAAATACTAAATGGAATTTATTTCTTCATCAGTCGGAAGTCTTCTACATTCTTCACTGTTATTACCCACCCAAACCTGCTTCAACCGTTCTGACAATTACCTTGTCCTTGCGCCATCATCAAAGGTTGCATACCCATACCTTGATGAACAACGTATTGCCGCTGAACCAATTGTAGTTGTTGAATAATTTGCTGCTGTTGAAGGCCTAACTGCTGAAGAGACCCTGAAGCCTTTTTCTTATCAGGATTCTGTAGGATATGTGTCTGTTGAATGAGATTCAGTTGAAGCTGCTCTTGAAGTTGTTGTATAGTCTGTTCCATTTGTTTTTTACCTAGTTCTGCCAATTGATGATGCTGCAAAAAAGTTTCTATCCAATGCTAAATATTCAACTTTTATAAATATGCGTTGAACAAACAAATTAAGTGAACATGCTCTGAAATATTCGTTATCCAAAATGAAGCCGCCGTCGCCTTAAACGACTGAGTCACTACTCTTTATTTAAATGATGTTTTGTTTTGTAAATTAAACTCTAAATTTAAATGATGTTTCGTTTTTCTATAATATATTTCATATTCTTTTCATATCTAAAACCCCTTTATAATAAAAATTTGAAGCTCAGGTTTTACCGTTATTTGAACCCTATTTTTGACTCACAGATCAGAATGAATTTTGTAATTATTTTGCTCCAACTATTTATCGTGTTCGCACAAAACTCACAAAAAAAAGTAATTTGTTTTGCCACAGATATTTCCCTAATTGATCATAAGATATTGTCCAGAAACAATTTAGTGTGATGGAGACAGTTGGTCACAAACTAGAGGAGATGGTTACAGCTAGCGAGTTGGAGAGGAAATGTCAATTATTAATATTTTGATGTTTCTGATCAGGCTCGCAGCAGTAGTGTTGTGATCACAGAGGTCAAACTTTTAAAGCCATTTTCTGCAAGGTAGAGACAGACCTTGGCTGCTAGCAAATAACCGTAACAGTGGTAGCGATAATGAAATAAATGTAAGTGCCACTGGTCCCTAAAAAACGCAGATCGATCCAGTAAAGGCTATATGTAAAAGCAGAAATTTTTCGGGTTGGTTCAGGGGGAGATATTCAAAAAATTCAACTTACTGACCATTACAACGATAATTTATTAGCGATTCTCAGTGATGCTGCGTCGGTCCACAAACAGGGAGACCGGACGAGAAACAAATTCAAAAACTTTAACAAATATCAATCGGAAAGCTTCCATGAAGAAATTGAGGAAATAAATCAAGTCAGCTCAGCAAAAAGTGTCAAGTGAACTTTAGAACTATATATAGTTAAAATAACTACAAACATTATTCAAAAATAGTTGCCCAACACACCTAAAAATTCAAGGCAATTGTCAAGATGGTATTCAAAAGTTAAATACCAAACTTCACAGTGATAGTCCAGTCACAATGTCCACAAAGATGAGCGAAGCCAACGAACATTGGAAAGTAACAATTTCCATTTGGATTGGTCCAGACTGCCATGTGCCCACACAGATAAAACTGGAAATTCTGGAGAGCGTCCACCATCCCAGCTGCCACTTGAATGATTTGAACAGGAACGTATCTCAATTTCCACTGAACAAGATTATTTCAGCATCTTTAGCTAAATGAGTTCTGAAACTGTTTGGAGGAAAATCAGACAATGGCACTAATCAGGTTAGTGGACGACCTAATCTTCAGAGTGCTCTGAAGATTTGCATTCAAGAGTGACCAAACTCAAGGCAGTGGTGAAATTGATAATATAATATCAAGAAACGTCTCACACACGAAAAGTGAGAGCAGCGTTCACAAAGAAGGGGCGAGAGACGAGAATCCAAGAGCAAGGTTGCAAAAGTTGAAGATGGGTCTGAAGAAATGGAAGATAGTTTGGAGGACATTCATTGAGAACTTGGCACGGAGTTGGAATAATATGTGGATATTAAAGAACATCCTCTTGAACTCTGATTCTGGCATTGGTCGCAAGTGGTAGAAAGAAGTCAACTTTCATCAAAATCATTTTCTTCTGTAACTCCTAGCTTTGCTGTTAATGTCAGGAACATTTCTTACAAATCGATCAGCGGGTTTCACTTCTGCGTAAGTACTTCACATAAATGAAAATATTACCGCATTTGTCGTATAAATACGTTCGTCGAGCTTTAAGATTAGAATTTCTATAAACTCCGCGCAACTTACTAGTTTAAAAATATCACTCGATTTTTATGCACACTATATGTTAAAAAAAACCACTATGTAGATAAGGCCAGAAACATTTGACTTTTTTGCAGCAAGCAATTTATTTGCGACCAATGGTCTGGTCTAACCATTTGAAATATTTAGGAATTACTCTAGACAAACTACTTTACTGAACAGCAAAATGTTCGGCATTTCAAACAACAGCCAAAAGAAGGGCCACGACTCATCTTAATCTCCTAAATCGCAAATCCAAGATGTTAGTTAAAACTAAACTCCCCCTGTACCAACAAATACTCCGGCCGAAAATCGTATATGGTGTTTTAGATGATTTTTCACAAACCAGCCCAACCAACATTTCAAGAATCCAAACCTTCCTAAACAAATTCCTCTGAAACATTATCAACCAAAACATTCATAAGGACGCAGTCCAAGCATTTTTCTCCAAAAACACATTCCAAGTTCAAAATCAAAGTCCTTAACCACCCAAATCTCGTAGTAACATTCTCCTTTAACATTCTCGTAACTTAAAATTGTTCTAAAAAAATCGCCGCCTGAAAATGGGAAACCGCCCTCTAAAATTCCGCCCAAAAACTGACTCAATAAACCCGAACAACCATGCCCCATTTACCCAACTCTTTCGCCTCAACACTTTCCTTCCACATCCAACTCCATCCATTCATTCGACTATTAATTTGAGTAGTTAAAAACCATATTAATAGCTATTTGTATTTACTTTGTACTGAAACTGATTTGTATTACACAATGTATTTCCTGTATGGGGCATCATTTTTGTCCTAAGCTTCTTTAAAAAAAAAGCTTCGAAGGTGAGCAGTGAAAAGCTGAATTACGACGAAAAATATGCTTTTCAACTGACTTTGAGAAACAGTTGGGTGTAGATTTTTTGGAATCTATGCGAATAAATTACTAACAAACATGACAATTAAAACCATAACGATTATTGGTTATTGATAGTTCCTTTCTTGAACTGCATATGACAGTTCTAGCGAAATGTGGAGACATGAAAGAATCAATAGAAGAAATTGTGCTTTGTATCAGTCAATTCCCGCTTTAGCTATTCGGGGCATTAGACAAAACGCAAAATGTGTTTACCTGATGTTGCTGTTGTTGCTGCTGAAGAATCGAATGTTGCTTCATAAGACTTTGTAGCTGTGTAGGACTCAGAACATGTTGCTGCAACAGCTGCTGCATATGATGCAAGTTTGAAGCTGGCGAAGACATCATTGCAGGTCCTGAGCTTGGAGTTTGATTATAAGGAGGATATTCATTGCAGAGTTTGGATTCCGTCTGAAATCAGTAGCAAATTTCGGCACTAAGGCAATCTCTTAAAAATATAGCTAACCTGAGATATGGGTGGAATGGTGGCGCTAAGGTTTTTCTGCGAGTCCGGTGCTGGTAAGGGAGAATCATCTTGGACGCGAGCCTCGGAATTCGAAGGGCTGACACTGCCATTGCCTTTGATATCTCTGTCCCCTCTGTCTTGGTCCCATCCACTTCTTTCTAATTCTAATTGTTGGTGTTGTTGCTGTTCTTTTTTTAACACTTTCTCTAAGGATGCCGCCTGCTGACAAAAGAAGATATTTTCTATACATCGATCAAGCGATACAGTATTATTTAATGTGCAATGTAATGCAATTTATAGCAGTCCAATAGGAAACGGCGTGCAATTGTTTCAATTTAGAATGTCTCAAAATAAGATCTATGAGACTATTCGCAAACTAAATTCGCAATTTATTAGATTTTTAGAGCCGACTTTAGATAGGACGACATGTCCTATCAAATATGAAATGTGAAAAGCGGCATTTTTGTTACTGTCTTACTATAGAAACAGTATCAATGTTTTTCCAACAGAAATTAACTTTTCTATGTATATGAAGAAGATAACATTAGCAAAATGCTGGTGCCAAAACTGGTTGGCAAATTTTGCATGCGGCAATTTTGATGTTGAAGATGAACCGCGTTGTGAAAAGCCAGTTGAAGCTAATTTGCCCATTCATGATCAGTGGAAACGTCCCGATTAATCTCAAAATCCGGAATCCATCTAATGATTTCATAAGAAAAGGTATCCATTTTTTTCCACATTACATGTTCATTTGCGTGTTTGTGTACAAATTTTAAAATGCTTTTCACCCATTTTCCATGCGCTTATTTCACGCTCCTCCTGAACAATAATTGCCAGAATTACATCTAAATTTACAGCTTCTAATGACGATAATTACAACGGGAAAATCATAAAGAAATACTATATTTTCAATACGTTCGATACTCCAAGCAAATACAGTCAAAGTAGCAAGATTTCATTCTAGATGAATCAAGTTTATTTTATATTTAGTCCACTAAAGACGCCAAAACATTTTATCCTATTCCCTATATGTCTGGTAGAATTAGCGAAATTGCATTATATTTTCATAATAAATCTGCCGTAGCATTGTTGTGTACCATTACTTAAGTCTCACCCTATATATGGAAGTCAGAATTTCTCGCACAAACTATTACTGTTTACTATCAAAACACATTCCCTACAAAACCACTGTTTATATTTCTAATTGAAACGGCCAACGCGCACCCACTCATATCTATATTAAAGGGTCTGGACCATCCTGAGGGTTCAATCAGCCGTAACAGAGGACTAAAGGAGAAATTAAGTTATCCAGCAAGATGTTTGCACAAGAGGGGATTAGAGAAGCGAGCACTTGCCCCATCAACATAGCATCTTAAGCTTATTACGTGGAGTGTCCATTCGATCTTCAAGAGGGACGATTACATTGGTCAATATATTAAATGTCAACATTTAAATTTAAAAATTCAGTTAGACAATATTTTCCATTCCACCTGTACCTATGACGAACGTAAAATATAATATATATTTCGGCATATAGAAATTAATCTCAATCAAACCTGGCAGCTTCAACAAATACACACATGCCTCGAATGTGTTTTAATTAATATTAGTATTCGTTTTTAGAATCACTAGTTTTACTTATACTCTAAACATGTATTTATAATGCCGTCTAAAAAACATCATTTGGACGTTTCGTCCATTCAACAAGTGGAAAGCGGCACAAATAGCTTTTCACAGCTTAAAAGTGCCGATTGCAGTAAAGCCACTTTGATTATACATCGGTTATTTGTACCTGGCAACACCAGTTACGTAGTTACCTATCGGTATCTTCTCTCATACGTTTAGTATTTACTCCACGTATTTGTGAACGTCAATATTGATATTTGTAGTGGTACAGTGCGTTTTAAAAGAAAACTCGAACAAAAGAACAAACACGACTTATTTAATGTAAGGTTCTCCTAATTAGAATTTATCCATTCAAGTCAGTTCATTTGTTGTTTGAGTTGTACATAAAGTAATAAGATGCAATAATATTTCTGCGAAACTTTTGGTGGCTACCTATACTAGTTTTGTGCACAAAAAAATCAATCATTTCAAGCAAACTTGAAAATAACGCAGTTTTCCAAATTCAAATTTGAATACTTCTTTAGACGTACAATAGTGAATAGGTACACTTCAAGTTAAAAAAAAAATACATAAGCTCACGTCTTTATCAGCTATGAAAGAAGCGTGAAAAATCTACCGCAAGTCTGTACATGTACTTAAAGTGTCCGAATGTTACACTGGCCAAAAATGAAGGGTTTGCGAACTTTTGCATTTTGATGATAATTTGTCTAAATTAAATATTGTGGCTGCCTTGAAATACTACCCAAAGTTTCGTACAATTTGTACTAAATATGCAAAAACATAAGTCGAGCTATCATTCCATGTATGCTTTTAAAATATGTATACCAAAAGTTGCGGTTTCAGTTTTCGTTTTCGTAGCTGCCACGAATATATATTATATACGTATTTTTGAATAAGTAGATCGACAAAGAGATTAAAACAAATTCTTACACTAAAATGACATAAYAATTTCTAAATACACAATAATTCAAATAATTTACTTAAMAAGTTTTTAGTATTTCTATTTTAAAAGTATATGGGGTATTGAAAGTATTTGCTCAATTGATTTAAATGACTGGTACTGAAAGTAATCAAAAGGTGTAAATTGGTGTTGGCCAAAATAGACATGACAAAAATGCAATCATGCATGGTGTTTCATAAAAATTGCGCAAGATAATATCGATAACTCGTGTGAAAAGCAAATTTCGTATTCCGTCTGAGTATTGAATGTGGATTTAATTATTGATCTACACMACATATCCAGCTGAAAAGACTCAAAGTTTCATAAAAATCGAACAAAAGTCCGAGAGCATCTAATTTAGCATRAAAAAGTCTGTTCCTCTCCATGATTGGAGATGTTCATATTTGGCTCGAAAACCTGTTTTGTTCTCGGCGACCATTCAAACTAGTTTGAACCAGAAATTTCAGAAAATATTTGCGTGCGTACTGGCACTTTCTACAAAGYAGTCAACAGTAAAAAACGGAAAATGAATTGCAAATGATTCATTCAAAGGGACGATTAAGTAAACAATTATATTATCSCGTCTATTTTGTAGGTCGCTGCCATCGGAATGTGRCAAAAGACTCAATATCGCTTGAGTTTTTGTTGGAAAAGGTCAACAGATATTTAGTTTGGTACGGGAAGTGCCCAAAATACGTCGTCAGTCGTTCATGAACGGCATATATACAGGAGGTGCCAATAAGGCATGTGCGCTAGATTATCCGTTATCTGCTCACTGATAGATTAAAGTTTTCAATGTGGTTCTTTATTGTCTGTTCAAGTGTAGTTTGTTTAAGTGAAGTATGCTTAAATGGAGTGTTAGTTTCTTGAAGATTAATGGGTAGAAAATGAGGGCTGCAGCGCCAGATTGCAGAAAGCTGGTAAACATGATTTCTAATCTATAATCCCTTTAGTTTCACCTGAGTTTAATTTTTCGAGAAATAACTAAAGTTGATGGCAATTTCCATTCCCCTTTATTTGTTCTGTTCATTTCAAATAATTAAATTTTTGACTAAATTTATGTAATACTCAAGAAAGTTTTTCTTTATTTTCAGGTGGCACGATGCAGCTCTTGGTAAGTTTGGCATTATTTTGCCCCTGGTTGCCATGTAGATGTAGAGCTTTTAGTCCCATATTATTGATTTGTATTTTATATTGCCCCATACCATATTTATTCGACAGGGAACGACGAGAGACGTTCTGGATTCTGTATTGAGTATTAAAAACTATAATTTTTTTAAGAAATTTAAACTCATATATTATAACTTAACGAATGAGGTTCTCTAGAGAAGACTCTTTTGATATGTTAAATTATTAAATTTCTGTTGTAAACCATACTTTTTATGATCTCGGCAGATAATTTGCGTCATTTGCATTATGCGCCATTATAGGTTTTTCCTTGTTCACCTTACATCTTAAAATGAACTGTTCTTGAACCCTCAATTCGATTTTTCAAATTAAAAATTATTTTCACTCAATCTTCAAAAACATTTCATCTAAATATTTGAGTTATTCTGGTTTAGTTTGGCTTATCGTTGATACTTTTTAAATAATTTAAATCAGCTATCTCAACCAAAACAATGGAAAATCTAAAACTTTCGAACCTCGAACTGGTTGAAAAAGATATTTCCGGAAAAAATCCATTAAGAACGTGTAGTATAGGGATTTATAGTTAGTAGAGGGAGGTACGGAAATTTATAACGGAAGTAAGTTTGTATTATCCAAATCTAGAGGGGTTCAAACTAGATAATTAGGCTTCTGTGGATTACACCCAAAGTTAAACAATTCTTGTTTATCATGAAGGATAGGCAGTGTTTGCAAAATTTGAATTATTTTTAGCTTCTTAACATTAATCAGTCAGGTTTTCCGCAGTAGTTTGTTTTTAAATTAAACTTTACAAATCCAATCCGCTTAAAAAGTCTTGAAAATCAAGATATCAACACTAGTGTTTTTCTGTTGTAAACCCATTTTTTGACATAATCAAATGTTAAAATAGAGCAGAATCCAGACCAAAATGCCTAAAGGTAGGTGAAACTTGTTTATTGCTTTGTGATGATTTAGCGAAGCCCTAAGAGGTTGCACGTGCACCTACATCCTGGACTATTTATTTAGATATTGGCCTGTTTTTGTAAAATTTTACACTGTAACTAAATTATTGTTTCCAAACGATTCGTACTGGGGAATTTTAGCGGCCAAGAACCGTCCGATATATTTCAGATTTTTTGCCATCCAGTGCCCTGTAAGTGGTTCAGATCAAGATTTTAACAGCTACTAAATGAGTTTTTCAGAAAAATTCGGGGTTTTAGGGAATTTTCGGCGTTCTAGATCATCTGGACACCATTTCATTTTGTAGAAGTAGATGGCAGCCAGGGTTGTAGTTTTTCTTTATAGCATTTACGCTGCTCGCATGTGCAGATTTGTGGATTTTATGAGGCGAATTTTACATAACGGCTTTTTCGAAATTACAGCGCAGTTATTTTACTATGCTTTTGAATTTTCTTCGAATAAAACAGGTTGATTTTTCAAGTGCTTCTAGTCAGTAATAACACCGTTTTCTTATCGGCTTGGCGAAATAAAAGGTTCCGCATCAATCTGAGGCAGCAATGGAAACATAATT